GCCGGCGACGCGCGAAAACCAGCCGCTGATGGTGCTGCTGGGGTCGGCGTCGTTGACGCCGCCGAGGTGTGACGCCTTGCCATCGATGGCTGCGGCGTCGGCCGGGTCGAGCGACAGTCCTGGGATCGCGCGGTCGGGACCGACGCCGGGACGCATGGCCGATGCAGGCGAGCCGTACTGCATGAGTGACCCTGTCTCGGCAGCGTGAATCGACGGCGTGCCAATGGCCGTGCTGGCGTCACCAAACAGCGAGTCCATCTCCTCGAGACGGACACCACATGTTTCGGGGTACACAAAGTAGACTTGAGACGGTCAGTGTCCATGCGCGCACGACATTGTAGAACAGAAAACACTCACCGACAACGAAACTGACGACGCAGAAGAAGGCGTGGATCAGGTACATGCGCCACTTGATCCATTCCTGCAGGATGGGGGTCATCTCGCCGACCAGCCAGTTGAACGCCCAGTTGGTGGCCGTCGACAGACTGGCACCCTTGGAACGGATGCTGAGCGGCAGAATCTCGGGCGGGTACAGCCAGGGGATCGGACCCCACGAGTAGCCAAAGGCTGCGTTGTAGATCATGACGAAGATGACGACGCACGTCGGCGTCCACGACACGTCGAGGTAGATGAAGTACGAGATGAGCGATAAGGAGACAGCCATCAGGATGGCACCGCTGAGCAGGATAGGCCGGCGTCCCCACCTGTCGACGAGGTACCACGGGGGGATGGTCGACAGGAAGTACGTGATGCCGTTGATGCCGGTCATCAGCACAGCGTCCTGTCCGACCCAGCCGGCCGACTCAAAGACGTAGGGCGCGTAGTACGAGATGACGTTGATGCCGTTGAGCTGGGCCAGGCCCTGGGCGGACATGGCGATGAAGACACGGGTGCCGTAGCGGCGGAACATCTCGGCGTAGGAACGCTCGCCTTCCTGGCGCTGGAGCAGGACATTCATCTTAATCTCACGGAACTCCTCACGGGCCTTGGGGTTGTGAATGTCACCCTTGCCGTACAGGTCAGCAATGACAATGATGCCCTCTTCGTCACGGTCGGTATCGAGGAGCCATCGGGGCGACTCGACAATGATCAGGCTGCCGAAGCCGAGCAGGGCGCCCATGATACACTGCATCATCAGCGGAACACGCCAGGACATGTCGCTCTGGATGAAGCCGCAGAAGTAGTCGACCCAGACCGACGTGGCGTAGCCGATGATGTTGCCCGAGAACTCAATGCAGGCCAGCTTGCCACGGTTGTGAGGAGGGGAGATCTCGGACTGGTACACGGGCACGATCGTCGACAGGGCACCGACACCGAAACCGGCAATGATGCGGCCGAGCATCATCATGGGCATGCCGTTGGCCATGGTCTGGAGGGCACCACCGACGAAGAAGATGATGGAGCCGTAGAAAATGGTCTTGCGGCGGCCTATGATATCACCGACGCGACCGACAATGAGGGAGGAGATGAAGGCGCCGATCTCGAGGATGGCCACCATGGTGCCGACCTCGGCTCTCGAGGGATCGTGGAAGTAGGCCTTGAAGAAGGGGCCGCTAGTGGGGGGGCGTCGTCAGCAATGGACAGAAACGAGGAGGATGGGGTCAGCAGAGGGGCATGTTGTACGTGATGATTCCCGACATGACGCCCTGGTCATATCCGAAGAGGAAGACGCCTAATGACACGAAGATGCTGGTGAAGTACACCAGGGCCTTGCCGGTGAGGCCATGGACGGAGCGTCCGCCGGTCATGATGAAGCCGAGGGCGCGGAGGGTGAGGGTGGGACGAGGTTTCTGGATGCGAGGGACCTCGATGGCCTCCTTGTCAACGGGGCCCGGTCTCGAGGGGGAACGATGGGCGTGTCCCGCGGGCGGCTGGATGCGGACTCGCTTTTGCGGGTTGTGGCTCTTGGTGTGTCGTCGTGCTAGGCCAGCGAGCAGCTCGTCATCGGCGTCGTGGTCGAGCTGGAAGCGCAGGGGATCCTCGTCGCCGAGCTGCTCGGCAATGTCGCCCGTGTCGGTCCAAGAGGATTCGGAGCCGGACGCAATGGCCTTTTGGTCGTAGTCGTGGCCGTGATGGTGTTGGTGTTGGTGGCCGCGGCCGTGACGGCGGGAGGGAGGAGAGTCGGGGTCGGGGCTCTGGTGGGCACCCAGCAATGACGTCGCCTGTTCCTGGTCCGAGCGAGAAGGCAGGGTTCGAAGGGGGATGTTGGAGGGAAGACGGGCGGACTGTGAAGAGGGAATCTTGGGCGGTGATGGGGCTGTATGGCAGCAGCTCCCTTCCGCTCGAAAGATTGGGGGTTGTGAAAGGGGCGGGGTGGAAGAGGAAACGAAAGGAATGCGGCCGTTTATGTGAAGCGAAGATGCAGGCAGGCCGACAAGCAGAAAGACAGGCTGAGAGGCTGGCTGAAGGGTGAATCAGGGACTGATTGAGCAGGAACTGGGTCCGACCGGCATCTGGGTGGAGGCAGGCGTCAGCGTACAGCAACAGCAGGAGGGCAGGGCAGGACAGCAGGGAAGGCAGCAGCACTGGGTTGGGGGTGGGCACTGGGCAGGCACCGCCGCTGGGCTCCAAGGATGGACACTGTCTGCCGCACGGTAGTCCCAGATAACGGCTGTTGGGCCGTCAGAACCGTTGAGTGTGTGTGTGTGTGTGTGTCTCTCCCCTCCTCTCTCCGAGATCTCAGAGATCCCTCCAGAGATAAGGGGAGCCTCCGCGCCTGGGACCTGCCCGTCTCGACTGACCCAAGGACAGTGCGAGGTGTCCCCCGCGCCAAGAGACCACTGTAAGGCTGAGCGAAGGCCGGTGCGGGGCACCGTGTCTTGGGCGACCTCTCAGCAGGCTTACACAGCACCCAGAGGGCTCAGCAGACTGCTCTTCCCTGGAAAGTGCCCAGAGGACAACCTTTTCCAGGCTGCACGCCTGGTGCACGCTCGAACGACCATCTGTCTCGAGGGCCCAGGACAGGCAACTGGCGCGCGTCGGGAGACAAGGAAATCCAGGACAGTCAGACACACAGAAGGGAAGGGGGAACGGAGAAAGGAAAATGTGACAGGGAATCGAACACGATGTGACGGAATCGACCATTCGATCAGATGCACATCCAACACCCCGTCTTTTTTTTCCCCAGCTCCTCTGCCTCGA